TATAATAATATTAACATGCAGATTACTTTATGTATTGATTTTGTTATTGTTTGTGAAAAGCAATGAAGAAAATAAAATATCATTGAAAACAAAAAAAACAGTGGCCAAAAATGTGGGAATTTGGGGCACTGAACCTTGCGATGACGTTTGGCACCACCCTTTCCGAGTCCCTTTCCTCCTTTTCCTCGACCTGACTAAATTTTCTCACACTAATTCGAACCATTGTTTTGATAGGCCTGGACTGGAACATTTTTAAACAAACGGAGCTATAATCGAGGGCGTTGGCGGGGAAGGGCATAATTTGAGTGGATATCAACTTGATTATCAAGGAACATGGTTTGGGCATGTAACTAGATGGAAAAATAGCTTGGCAAACACCATCTTGAAAGGAGAAATTGGAAAAGAAGGAGGGGGCATACCAACTAAAGCACGGACTGATAACATCAAGCAGTGGATGGGCGTGTCATTTGGGCTAGAAGAGCTGAAGACAGGAAATTATGGGCCTGTGACTCAAGGGATAGATAGGTGACATATTGATTAAAATTTGGGGCATATATAAAAGTCTTTGGTTACCACAACTTTTTTTTTTAAATAGCCCCATCTTGTGGCAACATCAATATTCCCGATTCGGTGAAACTATTAGGAGCATGGCTCGCCCATTTGAGAGAGAGAGAGAGAGAGAGAGAGAGAGAGAGAGAGAGAGAGAGAGAGAGAGAGGGTGGTTTCTTTTTTTGGGGGGGGGGGGCCGGGGGGGGGGGGGCTGGGCTGAGGAGAGGATGTAACGAACAGGCCTATCCATCTAGAAAGATCAGATGGAAACTGCCCCCTACCCTAGCCCCCGCTGCATGCGTACAGTCATGGTTCAGTGACAAAGCAATGGCCTCGTCACTGTGAGGCCCAAGGATCAAAACCGTGTCGATGTGCTATATTAGTGCCATTTTGTGGGGCATTAATCCTCATTACTGTCATTTATGACTTGAGGGCGTAGGTCCCCTAGTTGATAAGCATAGTAGCATACACATGCTTTAGCAGTCCCGCAAAACACACATTGGCAAATTATTATTCAATAAAATCTAAGAATGTATACTATTATCTAGATCTATTATTTTTTAATTATTTTTAAAATAATTCCATAAATTGGGGGTAAAACTAAGATATTCCAACATTTTGAGCAACAGTGTGTGTATATATATATATATATACATAACAAATGATAATAAAGAAGAAATATAAGAGTGAGCGAAAATGGTGAAGAAGGATCACACATAGCGGCATAATTATGTGGGATATAGACATTGTTTCCATTACCACAATGTTTTTTTTTTTTATCCCTGGATCAGGATCGGGAGGTCTCTAGCTTCGATTATAATTTTGTTTTCAGTAAAAAGGAGTGAAACGTCCTGAAGACGGACAGTCAACCTGTCCGAAACGTCGAGTCTACTCTCCTGCTCCTGCTCTGCAACTCTACTCGCCGACTCAAGCCAGCTTCTCTCATCTACTCAACTCTCCATCTCAATCCAGTCTTCTACTCAAACCTCTCATCCTGTCTACAACTTTCTGGTTTACAGTCCTTTTCAGGACTATACTCACTTCCGAAAGATACTCTTCCTTCCAACCTCCACTTTCTCGCCTTTCCATTTCACTTCTATTTCTATCCACTTTCCTTAGTCCTTCTAGGACTTTACACATGGTGTACCGTAAACCTCTTTCGCGAAACACTGTTATGTTTTGCTGCTTTTATTTTATCACTTTAGTTATCGGCTAACCTTTTCCATGGTAAACAGTAGAATAGTCATCAATATACAGTTAAACCTGCCTATAGCGACCGCCCAATGGAAACACAAAAAGAGGTCTTGGTAGACAGGTTCCTTTAGTACACGTTTCAGTGAGAAACATATTTCAAGGTAAACCAAGAGTGTGGTCTTTGTAGACGGGTGGTCACTAAGGCAGGTTTGACCGTATTATTCATAGAGAAACATAGAATCGATCGTAGCTGATATGTCTATTTAACAATGTTTAGCTGGCTGAAAAAATAACATTTTAAAATTAAAAAGACTTTAGTAAGCCATCTTCTTTTTCCACTGGAATATACTGTAACCTAGATGTCCATATTGCCCTTGACTGCGTTAAAAATTGTCTAAAGTCTTTGTAAGCGTGTCAATATTCATAATTGCAAAAATAGTATCGATAATTTGGCACTTGAAGTTGAACAGGCCTATCTTGATTATATCGATATCTCGATAAAATATGCAACAGCTTGTAGGGGCGGCGATTGCGGGTGGACACGTTCCCCACCCCCACCTCAATTTTTCAGGGGGATCGTCCCAAATACTGATGACAAAAAAGACTGCAACACACTTTTAGGCCCAAAAGTGCTGCGTTTAGACTTATACAAATGTAAAAAAAAATCTTCTAGCTCGGTCGCTACGTTCCGTCGCATAATATCCTTCAAATTGTACAGGTAAATATTGTAGAAAATCTCACATTTCGTCCCTCCGATCATGAATAGAAATCGCCACCCCTGCCAGCTTGTAATCTTGACTTAATTAACCAATATGTTTCAGCACCAGAACTATGAAGAAAAAAAAGGCTGTCGAACAAGTCGTGTCCGGTTCAGATCACAAAGTGCTTGCCTGCTAAGTGGATCTAGCCAGTTCAGGATTGGGGACGATTTTGGAGTTATAGCGTCATCTACGTCGTAGCAATAAACGTGTTAAAAATAGAAAATGACATCATGCTTTGTGCCTTGTACCGAGGAAGGAAAGTTGGCCCTCATAGAGGAGGGGGTGGGTGTGGTTTTCGTATGAAACATGAGTGGGCATGAGTGGGCAAAGGCCTAATAGCGTATTTTGCTCATCTAATAATATTTATTGAGAAAATTTTAATTTTCACTATGTGTATTCTTCCCTCGCGAGTAGGAACAACCTAGTGCCCAAATCTATCAAAATAAACATTTTACAAGTATACCCCCTTTCTTGACATTTTCTTCATCGTTATGGTCGTATAAAATGCTTTATTCTCTCTTCCTTTTGACAATCAGTGGCGCATCTAATCGCGATAAAGTGAGGCCAGCGGACGCCCCTCCCCTCCCGTAGGAAATGTCTTCGGAAATAAAATGGAAGTCAAATCAAATCATTCAGATCGTATATAAGTTCGATAAACCATTTTACACCATTGCATAAGGGTTGGGTCTGCGGACACGGTCGAATTGGTATTATAATGATAAAGAGATAAAGGCCTTCAAGGCGAAATGGATAAAAGGAAAGAGATTATAGAGAAAAGAGAAAGAGAAAGAGGTAGAGAGAGATAGAGATAAGGGGGGGGGGCAAAATAAGGAGTTTGGTTGTTTTATTTTAATAAACCATGTTGAATTAAAGAACGTCCACCTAGTGCCCCCGCCCCCTCACCTCAGGGCACACGCTATGCCAACGTGACACGGTAAACATCGATCACATACTGCTAGTATATTGTTTTGATGTCGTCAAATGTATCCCTGTTTTGACAAATGCTATGTCTGTTGTTCTGCAGGTCAAGAACACACTATAACCGAGCCTTTTCAATAAGACCTTCGGGGAAAGAATAAAAACAAACAATTGGAATTTGGAGGGGATGGTATTATTTTCGCCTTTTTATATTACCATATTTAACTGCTCTTATTTTCCAATCTTAGCTCGAATTTCTATTACAAAAAGACACAGAAAACGACCATGCTACACAAATTTAGAATACCCTTCGAAAACAAAGGCTACCTGTATAAGGAATAAATGTGTACTATAGAAATGATAATGGCAAATTGGGAATGATGCAAAATTAACTACAGATTATTGAATATGAATAATGTCTTGAAAGATACATAATTAGGCCGAAGCGCAGGGCTTGGGGCTGTAGCTCCAAGGAACTTCTAAAGTTCCGATATTTGGGCACTGGCCACCACATCATAGTTCGGGCAGGGATTCAGGGAATGCCCGAATATGTAATTTCCAATACAAACATAGAGTGTTAAAAAATAATGTTTCACGTGAGCGATCCGAGAGTGCATAATGATTTAGAAATTGAAGAGCTGATCCGGGCAAAAAACATTAGCAAACCATCGTCAAAAATGCACTTATTATATGCCCATGTCTTAAAAATATCATATCAATCATAAATATTTCATATCAAAAGAAGAAGCAGAAGAAGAAGTGGAGGAAGAAGAACTTAAAGAAAAAGACTGACAATGAAAGAAATGTAGAAATAAATAAATAAAATAGTAAAATTTACAGAAAAAAAAGAAAAAGAAATACAGAAAGAAAGAAAAAAAAAGGAGGAAAATATAACGGCTAATGAAGAATGAAGGCGTGTGGGACTCACAAGTCAACACATAATTATATAACTAATAGGCCTTAATTTATCTAAGGCAGGAGGAGGAGTGGAAGAAAATGAGAGAGAGAGAGAGGAGGAGCGATTATGATGCCATTCTTGAGCTGGAGGAGATGAGGTGATAGAAGGGGAGGTGGAGGATTAAGTTTTTATACACATAAGAATTTCTCATACTGGCCTTCAAAATGAGGAGAAAGAGAAATAGCAATAACGGAGATCTAGCCGGGGCTAATGATGTGATAAAAAAAAGTATATAATTTAAATGGGACTGTTAGTCAGGGCACTGGTCCGTAGGAGGCCCCCTCACACGGCCCCCAAAATTGTCAAAGTACAAACGAGATGCGATCGACACCTGCCCACTTATGTTAGAAAGGTGAACAGACTATTGCGCAGAGAAATAAAGTAGGTCATCGAGTGTTTTCCATATCCATAAGTTCTGGAGAATCAGAGAATATTTATTTTCTGTCGGAACTGAATGTAATACTTTGCTTATTTCGTGATATGCTATTTTCTCTGACAAGGCCAATGTTAGATATATCTGTTTTGAAATAAATGACCTATCAAATAATCCATCCGCGTTGTGGATAGTCTTCGGTTAACGTACAACTTTAACGTATATACAAAATAACGTATAACGTGTAGAATCGGTATCGAATATGTAATAAGTATAGGGAAAATGGAGGGCCTACGCAAAACATGACCGAAGTGTGTCCACAAGGCAAGGGGTTGTAAGCAACGTTGGTGTACCCCACTTTGCATGAATTGCCTTGAGTTTCAATAGGACAGCCATTTCATAATAATTCAGGAAATTCGGAACTTCTGGATCACTTACTGGGCAATGGATATGGAAGTGTGACTTTACACCAACTTGTTTCATTGAACATGTCGAATGGATGCAACCCACACAAGAAAGACATCGCGTAGAGAAGCAATGCAAATTATGCATTGAAGATGGGAAGGTTTTGCACAGACCACGCAAGTGATTAAACTTCAGAAGCGGTAACGTAGACTCGAACTTTAAAAAAATCATGTAGATTCTACCATAAAATTTCACCAACTCATTCAATTTGTAATTTCTGTAATGATTGACTTGATCTAGATCTCAGAAAGATTTTTAAAACAATTGTTTATTCACTCACTCAGACAATTCATTTGACATTTTGATTCATTCATTGTTCATTTGTTGACTGTGTCTGTCTGTGATGGTAAATTAGGCTAGATTAATATTATAATATTAAACTGGTGTGAAAAAAAATGTCTTTTTTGTGATTCAAAAGGAGGGACAGTGATCAGAAATTTGAGACTTCCAAATTTAGAATTAGATCTATGTTGTGTAGACTCTAGTCTACTAATAATTATGTATTTTTATCGGCAGTGTTCCCTTTGCGATGATCGATATCTTAAGAAATAAACAAGTTAGACCCTAAGTCTTCTCTCATTCATCTTTTGACCCTTTGTTAAATTTAAATTAAATGATGTCACTTTTCTTTTTTTTTGCAGAATCGGAACGAAAATCATACCAAGAAAATAACTTAAGATCTACTAAAGACGGAGAATCAGTTCTCACTCCACAAAGTGTCGAGTGAATGACTGAGGGCTCCCAGGCTTGACTTGACCAGCTCTTACCAACTAACACAGTAGACCTGTAGTACTTGTAGATTGTTCAGCCACCTATCCTGCAATGCAAGGGAAGTGGACAACAATTTTTCATCATGGAGGAATACACAATGGAAATACCAATTGAACAGTGTGCTGCATCTGGCAGCAAGCCAATTTGCTACTTGTGCAAGTGTGCAATAGGCAGTGAAAGGGGTATCATTTGGAACACTATAGTGTCCAGGTAGTCCATAAAACTGGATTTTTATCCAGTTTTTGTACCTAAAGCCTAGGCTAGCTCACATTTGATTCTCTCAAGTGAGTAACTTTGTCCTGAGCCCTGCTTGGGACTAATGTAACGGTTGTGTTTGGGTGAACTTAGTTACCAATCACAATGAGTAAGTCAGAGAGCCACAACAGCGGCAGCTCGCTGTCAAACGGAGTTGCGTCGTTGGAGGAAAGAGACACGGACGTCCCACTAAAGAGTCATAGCAGTGAGAGTGTGACTAAGCAAGGCAGCAAAGGCAAGTCTGGTGACACACAGACAGAGGAGGCAGAAGCTGCCGATGCGAGTCACTCGGGTGTAAATGGCGAGTCCAGTATGGGAAACAGCGTCGTGATTTCTAATCGCAGATCTCCTAACTTTTCTGATACTGATGTGAATGTTGAGTCCTTCCACAACGACAAGGTTACAGAAAACTCTGAAAGTGCAGCTGATACAAAACACACAGTAATCAGTGATGAAAGTAGCACCACTGGATATAGCAGTAGATTAGATAGCATCGGTGATAAAGAACTATTAAAAGAAAAAGTGCCTGATACATCTGTTCACTTAGCAAATTCACATCCAAATGGAACTGCTCTGAAGAGCGCCAGAAAAGACAGTAATATGAAGCCAGAAAGGGGTAGAATAGCTTCCGGAAATGGAAAGAAACAAAAGTCAGTTGTAATTATGGCTCCTGTAAAGGATATCACTGAAAATGGTCACATAGAGGTACACAAAGAAGAGAAGGTTGAGCCTTTACAGATACATGAAATGCATGATTCTGAAAGACGTCTCCTAATAGAAACTGAGGAAGCAGAACCAGAAGCAGTGGAAGAAAAAGCCATTGCTAAGTCTGCTGATGGCCGCTTCATGAAGTATGATGTAGCAGTAGGACAAGGTTCCTTCAAGACTGTGTTCAGAGGGTTGGATACAGAGACTGGAGTTGCAGTGGCATGGTGTGAATTGCAGGTATGTACATACATATACCTTTTAATTTACCTTTCTTCTTGTTTGTTAATATCAGTCTTCTACAAAAGTAACAGGACTAATTTGTCATTAATTCTGTTATTTTTAAAACGTTATTATACATGAACACTGTGTATATGCTTTAAAGAATACTTAGTTTTATCTTGTATGCATTATACATTACACGTAGTGTGTTCTATTTGCCTCTTACTTATTTTGTTAGTGTTAATTAGGGACAAACTTCTAATGTTCATTTTACTGTGTATAAAGAACATGTGATTTGAGTAAAGGCAACACCGCAGTAGTGTGATTGAAAGTTACTTTTGAGTTCTTGAAATTGAGTTGCATCCTTGAGAAGAGGGTTTTTACCAGTTCTGAAATGTCAAATAAACAAACACTTAGTAGAAATTATGTTTAATGAAAAGTGCAATTCAGATTTCTTTTTATATATGTTGGGACTTTTACATCATAGCCCAATTCTCCTTTGCTTACAGTGTAGCTAATAAACACTTTGTATTATAATGATTTGAAATTTGACAAGCATCTTTTTTTAAATATTTGTAGTCTTGTTGTAGTCTTGAATATTCATTTAAAATTTTGTTTTGATTCTGTAAAAATATCTGCCATTCGCAGAACTCAGATTACCTTTTACAACTTAAACAAATTAGTTTTTTAGAACTGTCATGTTTTGTACTATTTAGTACTGACAAAATGACACAAGCAACATGGCGCTGGTAGTATACATTGTACAGTTGACTTTGTATTGTAAAGGCTGTTTACACTTGTGTATTGAATGGGAGACTACTGTATGCAGAACATGTTAGAATGATTTTATGTATTTTCATATATAGGCAACATGTCAAAAAGAATGTAGTACTTCTAAACTTTCAAAATAATGCAGATTTTTTTTGGTGTGTTTATTTGTTATTTTATATCAAAGGTATAATCCTTGATCCTCTAATTTGCCATTTATAACAAAGATGTACTCACCAGGAATACTTGTGAATGATGTGAATTTTAGTATGATTCATGGGTGCTACATATATTTTTATCGCACTTGTGGGAAGAATATAAATTCTATTATGAAGTCACTTTTTTATTTCCACTTCTAAACAATTCTGGCACATTCCAATGAGATTAGTGGAGATTATTGTAAGTTTGCATAGCTCTCTGTTCAAAGAGGACCAGTGGAGGGAATCACATGCTTTGTTGAACAAACTTACAATAAACAGTATGTTTGTAGGCGGTAAATGGTCCACTGCTTAAAATAAAGTTATTGTGTATTGTCATTGGAATACTTTTTCTTGCAATTTGCCAGATAATTTAAGTCTTCAGAGATTTTTACGATCGTTTCCTAAATAGTGCTAAAGATACATTGATCCCGATCTAGTTAAGATGATTCCAGAAGGGAACAAATAATTTAAACTTACACAGTATTCCTGTTTTTATTTGGTTTTATAAACTGAACTTAATATACATTTACATGTACTGTACATGTACATGTAAGTAGAACATTAAAGAATTACATGTGATCATATTCAATAGGCTTATCAGGAACCTTACATTCTATGTACTGTAGGCTTGATGAATAGGTATTTGGATATCGAGAGAGTCCAGTGGTTGCCAGAGTCGGAATAATGAGGGAGCGCAGTTGATCATACTTTATAAACTATTGAAGTAACTGTAAGGGTTGAGTTGGAGAGAATTCAGTAAAAATATGACCCATACAAACATGTGAAGGCCTGTAGTATTCATTGTTTATGGCTAAGATTTTAAAAGTTAATTATAAAAAATGACTGAAATTACCAATTTGATTGTGTTTTGCCACTAGACAAATGCCATTGAATTGTGTTTGCATTTATACTTAGTACCGGTATGTGTATTACCAGTATGTTTTTGTACGTACAAGTACATGGATACATTCATACATGTCCTTGTCATGTACAGTATGGCTACATGAAGGCTACATGTAATAGTGCATGTGTATACATGTACAGCCCACATGTACATATTAATTACAGTGTACACTGTACATGTAGTGTGTTTAATGTACTGAACATAAATGTAAAATAGCTTTTTGATTCAAATGGGAAGTGAACAAAATTCTATGAAGTGGATATACATGTAGGCCTACATGTACATGTAGATCATATTTATCTAAAAAAAAATGAATGCTGTCTATTCACAAGAATACATTACAGTACATTATACAGTACATGTACATGTACATGTACACACTGATCTTGTCAACGTTGTATTACATCAGGGTGTGATATGGATAAAATCTCTAATCTCCCTGATTACACCAGCTTTGAGACTATATTTTGTAAAACATACTGTACCATTTAAAATGTAAATGTACAGTTAAACATTGTGGTACTGTACAGGTACAGTGTTTGTACATAGTAACTTGTGCATGCACTTTGACAGCACTTTCTCAATTTTCCCAACTGTGGACAATGGACTAAATTGACGTGATTTTTCATCAAGCTTATTTACCGTTCCCCCCTCCCCTTCCCCCCTTTCCCCCTTATGGTGGGGGTCATTTTTGCATTGACAAAAGTAAGAAATAACTGTATGCACTGGAATGCATGCATACAGATCTAAAATAGTGAACTACATGTACTTGTTTATTCAAAACAGCTAGACAGATAAATCCAAACTGTCATTCTTGAACATTTTCAACCAATGACATGCTCCAAGCATAAGTCTCACAAAGTCTCTGACCAATACCAATGTCCTGAAACTTAAACGTTGTCAGCATCATGCAGGCAGGGATTGATTACATCTCTGTGCCATATGGGGAAAACATCTTGGTGTTTCTCTTGAACTGAGATTCTGCTGAAGAGCCATAAGCAGTTCAAATACATTACCATCTGGAACAGTCATGTTTTGTGTCCATACAGATTAAAAAGTGGTACATGTACATGTATAATACGTCTCATCGGTACTGATTTGAGGCAGATTGATGCATATTCACCTAAATATCGGCTTACTTACATGTACATGTATAAATGTACATCTGCAATACAATTTGCAGCCTTGATCAATTTTGCTTTTTTTATGTCAATTTCCTAACTAAGCATGCTCATTTACTTGTACAAATTGCATACAATTTATTCAGGTACATGCAATATGTTCATGTACATTGTAGGCTACACGTTGCTTACAGTTACAGTTCAGTGTATGCGACGGTACATTTTTATTTTGCATTCATGATTTGGGAATTGTTTTTTCCTTGCCATTATGGTACATCTGAAATCAATAGCATTCTGGGTTAGAAAGTAATTTTCATGTTTTAGAATTAATTAGGTTTAGGTAGGTGACTCAGTTTTGTCACTTGCATTGTACATGTTTACCATTGTGTGTCAATACCAAATGTCCTTGGTTTACCACTTGACTACATGTACATGTATTGTAGGATCAATCTTATGGTTGAAAATATAAATGGTAGTCTAGTCCCAGACAATATAACTAATACTTTTGAATTGATGCACTTCTGTGACGGCCCTTTTAATTTGTCTCCTTCCTACACTGTAAATAAACCCCTCAATTTTTTTTGGAAACTCAAGTACAGATCGATTGCATCTCTCTTGTCATGGCATAATCATTGCAATGTTTAGTATTATTACACTGTATGTAGTGAATTTATTCCTTTTAAAAATGATACCCGATTTATTATTTTTCAGTCATTTTAAAAAGGAATTATCACACTGTCTATTGATAATAATCAAAATAATGATTTTGTCATGATAAAAGCGCTAATCGATCCAACTTGAGTGTCCAAACTTTTTTTAGGGTTTTATATTTCAAGGTACATGTACATGCATGTTCATTTTGATTATAAGAAGGAAGTAAATGTTTATTGAATAATAAGAACATCATTAGTTAAATTAATTATGTAATATACATGTACATGTATGAACTGTCTTTGTATAAAGAGAAGTCTTATCAATAGTTTTGTTCAATCAAGTACATGAATATACTGTTTGAACTCACAATTTAATTAAACTTCTTTGATTCCAACCAACCTCTGTAGGAGCGCAAGCTGAGTCGTTCTGAGCGGCAGAGATTCAAAGAAGAGGCCGAGATGCTGAAGGGACTCAGTCATCCAAATATTGTTAGCTTCTATGACTACTGGGAAGAAGTCAGCCCCAGAGGAAAGAAACATATAGTACTTGTCACCGAACTTATGACATCTGGAACCTTGAAAACGTAAGCGCAAATCAGAGTTGTCATTAAGAAGCCTGAATAATACCAAATGTATATTTATTAGTGATACTAAATTATTTATGTATGACCCATTTTGGCTGATTGAATTAGATTGCTTTTGATGCAAATCTTATGGGATGTGCATAATTTTACATCATTTCGGGAATACATGGTATTTACGGTAAAATGTTAGCAGTCTTATCTATATTGCGTAGTCGCATACCGTTGTAAAACACGGAGAAAAAAATAGACAATGCAAGACACTGCCAATGAAGTTGCAAATCTTCATCCCTTTCATCTAAGGGTCAGTAAAGCAGTATCAGTGCTGTACCTCTGAGCACCTTTTGTTTCTTGCATACCTTTAGATATCTCAAACGCTTCAAGGGCGTGAAGAACCGTGTGCTGCGAAGCTGGTGCCGTCAGATCCTGAAGGGCCTGCACTTCCTCCATACAAGACAACCTCCCATCATACACCGTGATCTCAAATGTGACAACATCTTCATCACAGGCACTTCTGGTGCTGTCAAGATTGGTGATCTGGGTCTGGCCACCCTCAAAAAGAGCTCCTTTGCCAAAAGTGTAATAGGTAAGTCAAGAATCATTGTGAAATTTGATATGTTACATGATTTGAACATGACTTGAGTTTTTAAAAATCAAAACTTTGATGGAAATAGAAACCATATTGCTTAAAACTAATGAGCGACCATAGAGTACACTGACAAGTTAGATCCATGTTGTTTCAGTAAGCATATTTAACAAAGAAAAGAAAAGAAAAAAAAAAGAAAACTTTGTTTCTAGATTTCCACAATGTGACAGAAAATGGTTATTAATGGTTCTAAACTTTAGCTATTGAATAGTATTTACTTATATTACTATTCTATGGGGATAATGAAAAAAATGTATCTTTCATTTGCTTGTTTGTTAAATTGGAATTTTCATTGTTGTGTTCTATACATCTGGGAAACGTTTACATTGTTTGTCTTTTCTCCATAACTCAGTTTAGGAGTGTTCATGCGGTTTTGTTAAGGGAAAAAAAAGTTGCTTTGTGATTCACTATGTGTACTAACATTGTTTATACATCTTATTTCAACATTCTCCTTATAAATTTAGAGTAAATTTCTATTCAGGTTTTTTTGACAGACAGTTTGGAGGTGAGACTCAACTTTATTCCCTTATAGTTGATCAAATTTGTACTGCAGTTATATGTGAATTGTTCTGTGAATATGGGATCTTGACTTTCATGTTTAGGTACATTTTCTTTTTATCTTATATACTCATTGAAATATTTTTACCAGGTTTCCTTTACATTTGAAGCAAGCCGACATGAGCCCTTCAAGACCATAACTAACAGATTATCTTCGTTTGCCGTGGTGTTTTTCCCCCTTCTCTCCCTTGAACAGGTTAGAAAGTTTGTTTTCAAACTCTACTCCTCCCTCCCTCCTGTTTGCATTCAAGGTACACCCGAGTTTATGGCTCCGGAGATGTACGAGGAGCACTATGACGAGGCTGTCGATGTGTATGCGTTTGGCATGTGCTTGCTGGAGATGGCCACATCCGAGTATCCGTACGCAGAGTGCTCCAATGCTGCACAGATCTACCGAAGAGTTACCACGGTAAGATTGAATATCAATTTGCTGAAATGCCTTTGATTGTGTAATTAGTACTTTTGTGAATGTCAATTAATTTTTCTCTTGGTTATTCCTCTTTATAATTTATGAAATGATTCTGTCAGTAGTGTTCACACAGAGTTTTGTCATCGATTCATGGATTATTATGTGAGAAATAGATAAACATACATATAGCTCATTTTCCAGCTGGATAATTCACTAATGATATCCTGAGTCTCCACACAAAGCAATGTGGTTGAATAGTTGTTAATGTACCTTCATAGCCGGATGTGCACCTTAGCTTTATGTATCTCTTTGATGTTTCTGCTGTGATGAGTAATCAAAGGTTTCTTTGTGAGTTTAATGTGGCATCTGTCATCGGACATGGCTCACCATGGAATCTAGTTCACATAGGAGTCAGTATCACAGTGTTGAACAGGTCTGCTATGTGAATGTAGGTTTGTGGGGCCTCATCAATACCTATGAGATTCTGTCATCTGTGCCATCATCAAAGCCAGTTCCTCTTGTGGTCTTGGCTTTTGTTTGGTCACAGGAAGTTGATTAAAGGAACTGCGCAATGGATGGCATTTGTGACAAGATAGCTAGTTCCTGTTCCAAGTAACAGATAACACCTTGATCTGTCATTCAGAGTTGAATTGACCGTCTCAAAAGCAACAAATTTGGACATAGAGGAAGTGCCATATCACACATTATTTATATTAGGATCAAACCAAATATGTACAACTGAGTAATTTCACTTTTCATTCCAATAATAGAATAGCTGTACAGGCAGTGAAATAGTTATTTGCTGTTTTGTTGATCAAATCTACTCAGCAGTCTAAAATCCAATGCTGTAGAACAATATGTCATGATGTTGTAATGCATTCGCCAGACAGTGGGGAAAGAAGTGCTGATCGACACTCCACTACATTTTAGCAAGCACATCAAATTACATTACCTCATGGGTCCACCTAAACCACATTTCAGATAGACAGGATGAACCCTCACTAGTGTAAATGATTCATAGTATGTTGAGATCATGCTTGAAATAACTTGTCATCATAAATTAATCCATCTATCATTCATTTCATCCATACTGTCCCTATGGTTTATTCATATAGTTATATGTCTTGGTGGATTGTCTTCACTCTGACTCTCTAGTATTTGTACATATTGTATTCTGATCTTTTTCACCTTCTTGAAATGTTTTTCACTTTTCATTTGTAGGGATTCATATACATGTATAGACAAATAGATGCAATGTCATGTTGTGAGAATTATGAAGATACTACATGTAGATGTATGCTATGATGATCAGTATGTACATTTATACATCTATCAAGTATCATCAATGATGCTTGAGTTGTTCATCCATTGGCATTGTAGTAAACGAGCAAGGTGATTGGGTAATAAGGGAAGGGATCAGGCAGTCACCTCATGATTTGAAATGTGACGTAAGCTCAGCACACTGGACTGGACAAGTAGGCCTTAGTTCATAGGTTTCAAGTAGTACTTTACATGCATGCTTGATTGCATTGCAAGTTGTTTATGATCTTACTCACGGTGCCCTGCTAGATATGAAGATCATTTCGGTAAATGACAACATGGGACCTGAGAGTCTATGACGGCTGTGAATAGTCTGCATGTTCAGACTTTACAATGACACTTTTGAGATCGGTGTTCTAGAGATGCATTCTACATGTAGACATCTGCTATTGAGACAAACTTGAAGTAGTTTTTCAAGTGGCTGACTACAGTTTGATTTGGTTTGGAAAATTTGTAGTCCATAAATGCAGAGCCGCGTTAATTCTCAATATGGTTTTATTGGATTTCAAGGAATTGACTTAAAATCATATTTATAATCACCCAAAAGCTTTAAGATCCCTTGAATTGAAAAATGTGAGGGATAATTCTTTTTCATTATGATAGTCACTTCACAAGGAACTATCCATACACTACTGCACATACACTGTATAATGTACTTCATTGTCTATAAGGGCAAATGATTCCAATTTAAATCATTGAACATGGTTTTGCTTTTTATTTAATCTTTATCTCCCATATATCCCAGCTTGCAATAGCTTGTCACTTGTCTGTGGGTTTATACACTGCAACTGTAGATTTCAATGGTGTTATTTTGACTTCTGTTTGATGAAAACATTGTTTAATCCCTGAACATTTTATGTGCATGACTGTGAATTTTGATAGTCCTTGTAAGATAATCAGGTGGCAGAATTATCGAGGGGTGAAGATTTTATTTTTGTCTGAGGTTATAACTAGTAGGGTATTGTGTTTATTTTTGGCACAATATTGGTGCAGGAACAAAAATAGCTGCAATATAACACTTGAAATGACTGCAACAGAATACGGGACAAGAACATGATTGCCTGAGTCCTTCAGATTGGAGATTTATAAGCAACTCAAATTGCATGATCATGTTTTAGAGGGAGCACAGGTTCATAGAAAAATTCGCTTAAAATACAAACTATTTAATAGCTTAACTTTGATATTGGTTTTTTTTTTTAATGTATGAAATGCAAAAAATTATGTAGAGACAGTAGAGCACAACAAAATTAGATAATACTTATAGATGTGAGAACATTCATTTTGTGAAGATGTGATGTAATTCTGTTTGAATTAGAGAGGTGTATGTAGAAGGTCATTTGTGGGAAGAAAGGCAGCATATCAGGAGGGGTGGGGGTTTGGGATGGATAGATGGCCAGTAATAGAAAAACAGGGCCAGGGGGAACTGGCTTGTCTACTCACATTTCCGTCTGGATCTAATAAAGTGAAATTGAACTGCATACGGTAAGCACAAGCATCTTCCTTGGCCATGCAGATGGAGACTGCAGACTCTAATCTAATTGTCTGGTTCGCTTTAATGCATTTGTAATGTATTTTCAATCAATTATTCCAGGCCAAGTGATGACTATTCTCTGTGCTTGTAATGAACTTCATATTTATTTCATTCTAAATCAAGGGTAGAAATTCAATTAAATATCTTATTGTGCTTATACATCTAGTTTAGATGAAAGCTGCGTGATCAAGGTGATGATTATTTTTTCTCTAACGTACATAACCTTTCTTATAGATTGAATTTATTATGAATTGCTTTTATTTTCAGTCTAAATTTAGGGTAAAAGTACATTTAAAATCTTATCGTGTAAATAGCGTGGGTGGAAGCAGTGGGCTGTAGGTGAGAATTTGTTTATTCTTTGATTTTTACACGGTTATATGAATTGGTTGTAAAATTTCACCATGTTTTGTAGGAATATATTAAAGATTTGTTTAGATGTTATGATGTACGAGTACGTAGTTAGTTGTATTAGTTGACAAATTGAAATTCCATGAGGAACACCCTCGCTGCTAGGTCATCTTTTATGGAGCCAGGTTAATGATATTTTAGGATCCTAAGTATTAGAAAGGATTAGGGCCCCAGGGAATATTGTCCATTGATGTATACTTGACCAATGAGTCATTATCCTTCATTGAAACCTACATGTACAATGTAGGAGAGGGTGATCCTTCATGATTTGGATGTCTTCGTAGGTAAGAAGAAGGTCCAGAATCTTTTTTGCATTTAACTTGTACAAATGTAATTTAAATCAAGATATATATGTTGATTTTTTGTTGAAAAGAAAAGTGCTGTACATGTCTATTAAAAAAAAATGATTTTGTTTCTTTTTGCTGCAGGGAGTGAAACCACAAAGCTTTGAAAAAGTCAATGACAACAAGATCAAAGAAATCATTGATGGCTGCACCAAAACAAACAACACAGAGAGGTATGTATCCATAATTCATTATCAATAAATCAGGATGAATAAACATTGCATCACATGTTTTTTTGCATTTGTATGACTGAGATGTTATTAAAATGTTTCAGTATTATTTCAGTGCAGTATTTTTGAATATGTGTGTAACAACTTTATGAGTTTCTCTTCTTTCCGAATGTTTTTATCTGTTGGTGTTTTCCAAATATGTAGATTTACATGAATTCACGTTTCTGTGCATAAAAACAATGATACAGGTACCTATGACACACTTTTCTGCTGATTTGATTGATTGTTAATATTGTGGTGAATTCCATTTGATGCTTTCCCAGGAAAGAACACCATATGTGCAACATTCCATAGTAAATTGTAGCCTGGCTTCCATGTGCTATGATTTGTTTCCTTCTTTATCATTGAAATGAGTTATATTATTTTTGAGTATGTACAATATCTTGTCCCCTTGCTTTCATTGAAAATAGGTAGTAACTGAGTCTTCAGAATGTAGAATATTATTTTCTTAACTCCTTCCCCTCCCCTCTTGTGAATTATAGGGCATAGTCTCCTTACTCCTATGCAAATTTGGGGTAATTTTATTTTGTAGAGGGATGAAAACTCACTTAGTCTGAAGACAAGGCTAGGGGATTATTGTAATATAGCTCCCAAATCTGTTAATTATCAAAAGAATGTAACTATGTGTGAAATACTTTGACCTTTATCTGATTAAGTTATTTGCTTGTATTACAAGATAATACAATGTCAGTTTCAATCAGATACACAATCATTTATAATTTTGCCAAGTTTCCTTTTGGCATAACAGTGAGGAAATAGGGAGGAAAAAACAATTCATCTTAAAGGCACACATCTTCATCAAAACATGCAGTTTTGTCAATTGGGGAAGGCGCACCGTGAAAAACAATTTCCATCTTGTCCATGACCTTGACCAACAGTATATTTCCTCTCATTTTTGTTGTTGTTGTTGCGATTTATAAAAGAACACTGTAGAAACAATTTCCTTGACTTGGATTTGGATACATGTGTGTTGGGTACTCTTCCTTCCTTTTGGTAATGTATCTGGGGATAGATGTAATCTGTTTTGATATCCGTCTTGAAAACAGAATAAAGGAGAATTTTTTTCTTCTGGTTTTTCTGTTTCTCTATGGCCTGAATTCACAAAGGAGGTTAAAATTTATCCCATGGTTTAAACCTGCATTTACATAACCCATGGTTTAAAATAAGCGCAAATTTAGCGTACCTTGCCTTGCGTGCGTTTAATATTGGACCTCTGACTGTGTCACGCTTATTTTGGGCTAATTTTAGACCACAGGTTATGTTATTGAAGATCTAAACCATGGGTTAAATTTAAACCTCCTTTGTTAATTAGGGCCTATAAGTTTCTTTCTGGTGTTGTTTGGAATTAAAAAATAGAGATATTACAAAAAAGTTGAGCATGATTGCTTTCAATGTTTGGTTGACAATTGCAAATATTTTGTCTCTCTTTTTTTTGTGGGAAAAAACAGGCAGTGCTGTTTATCAAAACTTTATATAAATATATTTTAGTGAGTGCATTAACCTTTAATTATGAGTTTGTCATTCCGATGAACTCTCTTTCTCTGATTCCTTGGCTCAGGGTGTAGTATTCAAAAGCATTTGACATTTATAACTTCTTCCCATTTCCTGTCAGATCTAATTAGGAGACATCTTTATGGTACAACAAAAATAAAAGTGATTGTGATCTAGTTGAGAAATCTGATATGTTTCCATACTTTGAAAACAAAGTCTCTCTTTTTTTTGGTTTCATTTTCAGATGTAAAATAAATGAAACGTATATATATTGATCACAATATCTGAAGTTGCAACTTTGAGTCCAGATTGTTTACATGTAGATTATGCTGATATTTCACAAATGAACGTTTGAAGAAAAAAAAGGTTTGTTCAAAATCATTATTCTAGGTGCTCGAAGGAAGGAATTCAGCCAATTCCTTTGACTAGTAAATGTCATGAATTTCAGTTAAGATGAATGTTTGATAGATATGGATGAGTTACGCCTACTCTACAATCTTTTTGAATTTTCCATTCTTGTCTGCAGACTAATTATTCTTGTTCATTTTTTTTTGCAACAGTAACTTCGTTTTTAGCAAATGAAAATAAATTTGTCTAAAGAGTGCAATTTGCCAGGTTAGGAGTGGAGACCCTGTAGTTGTCAGTTTATATGCAGCCATCCTCTCTGATTTTTTTGCAGGGATCCAATTTCTATGGGCTGTATTTTGCATGCACTGTCTGTTTTAAGGTTTGGGGTTAGAGGGCTCATGTGGACTGGTTTCCTATCATTGTCAGGCCCTGAATTTGGGCATCGTAACCAGACTAGGCTCTCATCATAGCTTAGACTAGAGAGGATATGGGGCTATCTCTTGCCCAGTTCAAGTTTTGCTCATCACCATTCTTGTCACTTTGTTCTCTCCTCGGGTCCTCACCTTGCATGGTTTCCTCTTCCCTCGCTTGCCCTCTTTTATCGCCTCAGGTCGAGCCAAAGTTTTGGAATCCAGCCAGGATTATTCAATCAATCCCCGCATGTGATACTTCTTGCAGGCGCTAATGACTAAAGCATCGCTTGTCAGTGGTTGAGATATTTATCAGTTCATCTTTTGTTTTTGAACTTGATGTTGTAATGTCTACAAAAATTTATATTGAACATTAAAGTAGATATCGGGTCAAGATTAAATCCTTCCATACTTCCACCATGAATAATGTCATATATTTGTTCAATCCTGTTCATTTTTATTACACTTAAGCGCAATTGACACATTTTCTACATTCTCCTCAGTACATTGCACCACTGCTTGTGTTTACATGTAGAAAGGTTAAACAAATTTGCTGTTGAACCTTAAGAAAGGCTACAGTTAATCTTTCTTTTGTTCCTGAAATAGGGTTAAATTGCATCGAGAAGTCTACAGAGAATGTATGTTAAAAGCATAGCATTAACCGAGGGACTAATTAAGTTTCATATGAAACCGTTATAATTATAGCTTGATGGTAAATCTCTTGCTGTCTACAGTGTAGGCCAATGATAAATCAACATGGATGAAGTGACATGTCTCACGCATCATGGTCTATTAACAGTTGTAGTTATAATTAACGACATGCTCATCTAGCATGAAGGTGCATTAACACAATGGACAGAATCCAAGGGGCAAAAGCCGCATAAACCATCCTCAGAAGTTTTAGGTAACAAATCTTACAAATTAGAACTTTAATAGGTAACTACATAATAGTACAGATTCACCCCACTGTGAGTATTTCTGGGAATAAACAGAACTGGGAACAAACTAAAAACTGACAACATTTTTCTGCTGATAGTCGAAAGAGTATATATTTAGTCATCACAAATTCTCAAGAATGGTGTATGCCAAAGATTGATACATGTACATGTATCAGCATAAAAATAAAATAATCATGAACTGAGGATTGTTTTGCGGCTTTTGCCCCTTGGATTCTGTCCACTGTGTAATGCCTGAAATCTCTTTTGATACTACAGTTGATCCTAAAAATACAAATTTGTATTATTTCCTCTTGCCGATTCGCTGTTGTTGCAGTCATGTGGAAAATATCTTGTTTATTCCTGCTGATGTAGGTCATCATATTGCGATGCTTCATGATTCTAATTTGAGTGTTGCTATTAGACTATAATACGCTTAGTGATTTTCAGCAGGGTACTTTCATACCTGCCAAGTCATGGAATTTCAAATATGCAACTCTCTCCCAGTGCTTAGGAGCTTGCAATATCATTATTTACATTTCCTTTGCATTTGTATTTCAATACTTTTGGGGGGAATATCTTAGCTATGACGATTAATTTCATTGTCAAATATACAAGGTTTGAAAGTGGTATGTATCTTTTTCAAAGTAGAAATTTGGATACGTCTTTTATGATTGGAATGTAAGATTTGCGAAAGGGCTGTCAAACAGTAAATCAGTAGTAGATATTATTGGATTTGCTGCTAGCAAAAAGAAACGGAAGAGATGTTAACAATCTTAGCTCTATCATGAGGTGAATGGTTGGAAATAGCTTACCTCAAAACCAAGCAAAAAGCTTCAGCTTCTCTTGAAAGCAATTTCAGAATGGAACGTGACATATCTGCGAAATCTAAAATGTGCACGTTCTTGGCATGTTAATTCGGCCAGTTGAAAATGTAAATTTCATGTATGATCACTTAATAACAATCCTGTCAAATTTTGGGTTGGAACCAGTTTGTAATATGATCTAAGTCTCCTTTTTTGTATGCGGTTTTGATATATGGGTAAATCCTAACCTGCATTAAAAGTTAAAAGGAAATAGAAATTATCAAGTGACTTTTAACCCCCCCCCCCCTTGTGCTATCGGTACAAACATGTTTCCCTCAAACAACACTTATTGGGATAACACGATACCATTGTACTTTTAAAGAAAAAACAAAAACAAATGAGAAAGAGATTATGTTTCACCAGGAACTAGCTGATTAAACCATTAGCAGGTTTAGACAAATTGAGATAATGTTACCTTCTACATTAATTGAACATTAATAATCTGAAGCATTAATTACCGGCATTAGGCAACAAAAGATATTGTCTGTTCATGTTTGTTTCAAGTCTTAGAAGGAGCTAATTATCAATTAATAAAGTGGTGCTATCTTTACTGTCATTAAGAAATGGATCCAGCAGATTCTTTTTCCTAATGATGTCAGTTTTTTCAAATGTTGCACTCAGTTTGCTTAATTCTGCAATATTTATCATTGACTGTTTCCCTTTTCTGTCTGTAAACATTAGAACATTAGAAGTGTTCTTGTGTTTAGTTTACCCAAATCAATTGATTTTATTTGCAATCCATTCCCAATTTTCTACTGTAATTACTGTATTAAGAAATACATAAACCTTCATTTTCATGAACGTGAAATATCTATAGGGTAAATTCCAGTCCTCCCCTTTCACCATGTGACAAAGATTTGATTAGTTTCACCAAAATGTGGATGCAAGGGTTA